CTACTAAACTTCAACACACATATATATATAAATGAACTAAAATTAAAAAAACATACATTTTGTGTCTGGTCGAGTGTTGTCTCATTGGCAATCTCACTTGTACCATATCTTTTTTTTTATTTATTTATTCTACTACAGGCGAATGGTACAGATGTAATCTTTAAAACAACAAAAATATCGAACTCCAAGGCATATTCAAAACGGAAAGTCCCTTATCAAATGTCAAAATCAAAACCTCTAACACAACAAATAAACTCGTCATAGATAACAGGACTGAAATTTTGTATTTACTCCAAATGTTTCGCCTTCCAAATTTTATTTGAAATAGCCAAATAAACTACGAAGTTGAAGACCGTAGGACCAAACAATTCTAAAAGTTTTGCCATAAAAAGTAATCCATACCTGAGGTAGAAAAGCCTTAGTATTTTAAAAAGTTCAAAGATTTGTAAACAGTTAATTTATAATTATGATCATATCAATGATAATTCATGTCACCACAGCAGTGCTGACTATTGGGCTGGTGATACCCTTGGGGATCAAAAACTCCACCAGCAGTGACATCGACCTAGTGGATGTAAAAAAACTCATCATAGATACCAGGATTGATATTTTCTATTTGCACCAGAGGCACGTTTCGTCTAAAAAAAAGACTCATTCACTACACTCGAATCAAGAAAGGTTAAAAAGGACAAATAAAGTTACGAAATTGAAGAGCAGAGGACCAAACATTCCCAAAAGTTTTGCCAAATACAGTAAAGGTAACGAATGGAAAACAACTGGCAAATTCCTGACTTGGTACATAGTATAAAGGCAACAGTAGTATACCAGTGTTCAAAAGTCATAAATCGATTGAGAGAAAGAAAACAAATCCGGGTTATAAACTAAAACCGAAGGAAACACATCAACTATAAGAAGAAAACAAAGAAACAACAGGACCACTAAAGTACAACAAACACAAACCCCAACATACATGGAAACGAACTGTTTGATAACAACTGCCATATTCCTGATTTTGTACAGGAAATTTTAAGAAAACCTTGTGGGCTGAACCTTGTTTTATGGCTAGCCAAACCTCCCACTTTAAATGACAACGTTAAAAAAATATCGCTAAAATGGCAACACAACGTGACAGAAATACAGCACAATTACACACAGGAACACTCGTCACAGAGAAACGCATAAATAAATAATATAATAGTCGACACAACATTCAAACCACAGAACAACAACGAGCATCTTCCTTCAACGACAGGCACCACAAACAGTGACACAGTTACTTACGTAACGAAAATGCAATCTCAAACTTTATACAATTATTTTTACAAAACCAGTCAAAACAATTTTCAAGACAATGATGATATTGAAAGGCAATTTTATAATTATTTGGACTTTTAAGACACAACACATTATCAACCGAGACAATAACAGAAACATAAAAAAAAACCACATGAAAGTTGAATGTACAAAATACCGAGACACGTCGTATAGCAATGCAAATGCATACTCGGTGTAACAGTCATATTCGGGAATAGGCCACGTTCGGTACTTAGCAGACAGACGACATAGATGTTAAACCACAATCTAAGACGTGGTAGATAGTTTAGACACAGACATAGCGTATAGATCAACCAATTCGTGATGTGTTCATAAAATGTACGGAGTGTCATGTTGAATCTTTCCTCCTTATAACTCTGTTGGAGCAATTTCGGCGTAAGGACGTACCCTTGTATATTATGTCAGTATAATGGGAACAATGCACGAGCAGTTGAGATAGTAAAACACCATACGACAGAGCAGAGGGTATGTTACTGCTAAGAAATGGGGAATTGATAATTGGGAAGTTGAAATCATCACGTTTGTCATAAATTTTAGTGTGAAGTCGTCTAACTGGAAAAGAGCAAGGTATGAAGCAGTTCTTCTTGTAAAAGTAGTATCCATAATTTAAAGTTCACTGGGATAAATGATTTGTACTGATTGATATATGGGTTATTCAGTGATAAGACATCATCAATATACCTGAAAGTAAAATTAAAGCATTTTGCAAGGTGCTTCTTTTTTTTTTTTTTTGTCTTTCAGAAGGTTTTAAATGAGTTCTGCTTCATACGATTATAAAATCAAGTCGGCCATAAGGTGTGCACAATAAGTACCCATTGGAATATTGACTGTCTGTTGAAATATCAATCCTCCAAACTCAACAAATATGTTGTTCGTTAAAAAGTCCAGCATTTTGATCTTATCATCTTCATCGTATTTATGATAGAATCAGTATGTGGTTCTTCACAAAATAAGAATTATTATAACCCAAAACAAGAAATGTATATCTACGATTCCCATTTCTATAGAAAAAGCTCTGTTTAATGAGATGGTGAAGTCGATCCTTCAATTTAGCATGGGGAATAGTAGTGTAAAGCGTAGAAAAATCAAAGGTCTAAATATTGCTGCAACATTGCAGAGATTGTGATCTAAAATTTAGCATTAGAACTTTGTTTTATTCGTTTTATTTGACAGATGATTTCTACTGTTCCTTTGGTATATTCTGCTTTATATTTTTATATTGTTATAACAAATTCTTTACAAAGACACACTACATGTAATGCATTTGTCATTGAAAACAACAACAAAGCAAAATGACAGTTTGATCAATATACAGTTTACGATGAGAAATCAGAAAGTAACGTTCTTGATAAAAGGCAAAATAACAAACATACCGAGCTCCAAGTAAAATTCAAAACGGAAAGTCCTTTGTCAATTGTCAAATGTCAATGTCAACAGCTCAAACACAACGACCGAAGTGAAATAGCTGTCATAATCCTGAATTAGTACAGGCGTTTCCTCATGTAGAAAATGGCTGACTAAACCTGGTTTTATAGCTAACAAATCCACTCATTAATATGACAGTTGCGTATTATTCAATTATATTCATAACAATAAGTGAGCAAAACAAACAAATGTCAAAAACTGGGATACAGGCTTGATAAATGAGTCCAATACAAACAGACATATCATGGCAAAAATAACAACAGCGAATGGAAAAACAACACATAGAAACCATAAAACTAAGCAATACTTACTCCACCCACAAGTATAAACTGATGGTGCTCCAGATGATTCATCTTACGTTTCAAATGTGTTTTAAAATTTTTTGTTGGACCTAACACTGGATTCTACCTATCTTTGTTGAAATACATTTGAGAAAATCTCTTTAGGACGAAATTTCTGTTAGGCAATTTGGTGAGCCAGAAAATGTGAATTTTGCCCAATTGAGTTAATTACTAAATGAATGAAAGTTTTAAACGTTTCGAATTGTGATATTCATTTATCATTAGATTCGAAACAACATAAAAAATACCAATTTTTCTGAACCAGATGCGCATTTTGACAATCAATGTCTCTTCTGTGATGCTCGAAGTCAAAACATTTGAAAATCCAAAGCTGATTAAAAAGAAAGACAGTCGGTTCGACCTTTCAGTGTTTAAGATTTTACAGGATAATCACAAAATGACGTAAGAGTTACACCGCTTTGTGCGGAATAACATTTTATTCGTAACTTGAGATTGATATACTAGTATATAAATGTATTTAGTGATTTTGAAGATGTCTCACATTTGAAAATCAATAAACTAAACAAACGATCGAAGATGTCATTTTCATCAATAATAGAAATGTGTGTTGGAATCAAACTACCCAACTGAATTAATATATAATATATAGCAAGTGCACTATTTGTATAATATCTACTTTAATATATTTGATATTGGATTGTTAAATAAATTTTTAAAAAATGGAATTTTTTCTTGACGAGGAAACTAGAATTCATTGTTTCACTTTCATTCAAAAGACACAAAATTGTAAAAGATGAAGTCAATGTTAACATTGATATTGAAAATGATCAATAAAATGGTACTATAAATGTACTGTAACAAATATGTGCCTCTAGTAATAACTAAATATGTATATGTATTTCCTTTGATTGTTTACTGATCAAATATAAGGAAGAAGAAATGTTTTAATATTTAAAAATGCAAAGGACTTGATTGTGGAAGGTGGTGATTGTTTATTTTACCTCAAACCTGAAATTTACATTCGATGTAAGCATAACAAGACAATGTGTCGCCCTGTAACGTTATCGCAATGATGAAAATATGTATATTAGAAAATTATAGATAGAGGGTTGCTACTCACAAGGAAGCTATTAAACCAAGAGTTCAAAGTGGTGAAGTTGAAATCATCCCTTCGTAAATTTTACGGACGCCTTCACGAGTTGGTTGACCGTTATGGAATATCCGTTTCTTAGATGATTACGGATATGTTCCAAATTTCGTATTACAATCCCGTCCCCTTTCCCAAAATGTGACCTACTGAATAAGACTTATTACCGGGTTTGTACTATCATGACCAACACGACGGGTGCCACGTTTTTTTGCGGGGTTCTTGTTGCTAAGTCTTTAGTTATCTATTTAGTGTTTGTGTTCTGTGTACTATTGTTTGTCTGTTTGTCTTTTTCTGGAGTTGGCAGCAGCAACCCTCTATCAAGGAAGTCAAGATAGGAAATACAAGCCCTGGAATATCGTATTAAATGGGAGATATATACTCCGTATGCAGGATCTGAAAATATTTTTGATAGTTATATTACTTGATCAGTTCATTTGTAGGAACTTTACATTATGCATAAAAAGATTAAGCCTTTGAGGTGGATTATCAATAAGTTTACATTTAGTACCAATGTAACTGGAAATTTTGTTATATCACTTAAAATTGTTATTCGGAAAATATCGTTTCTAAAAATACTGAACAATCGAGACCATGACCTGCAGATGATTTGAGTCTTACATATACAAAATAATTGCGTCATTTATTTTTTAGTTGTTGAGAGACTTTGAAACAAATTACTCTTCTGCAATCGCACAGGAAGAAAAGTAGAGTACATCAATTTTTAGAAGCCATGTCACTGGAAATTTTCAGAAATTTGTAACTTGATAAATACTGTATTTTTTAAATCCTAATCATTAGGGACTTGAATTGTAAGTGGATTGAGCTAAAACAGTCTGTAAGTATCCCTTTTATCTTACAAACTACTGAAGACTTTAAAGTACTATTCAACAACCGCCCATACGGGATAGCCCAAACAGTCAAATTCGCCTACGGAGATGGACGCTAATTGATGCGATAGAAAAAAAACAATTGGTCACTCTTAGCGGTAGCAGAGCTCGGAAAAATAGTCAATTTATGTAAACATGAATTTTACACATTGTGACATGGATAGAGTGTTTTCTCATTGGCCCTTATGCCACATCTTCTTATTTCTAAATAAATTTTTTTTCCATTATTTTGAAATAATGTGGTTTGGTAATACATTAAAAATATTATTTTTATTCAAAGACATCACAGTAAGTCTTTTTCTCTGATCATTTTGCTGTTATATATGAATATTTTAATTAGACATTAAGCTCTGAATATCACATCATTGCCCTATATTTTGATGTCAATTGTGAGATGCTGGATTAGAAATTATGACTCTGATAAAGACTTAAAATAGGATTTTGTATTTCTATTGTTGCTTTGTTGTCACTTTGGGTGATTTCCTCTTGTCTTAAAACTATTGTATATTCTAAAACTGTATCGCTTAAGTGAAACAAACCAAAAATCATGTATACAAGCACAATATTTGAAATCACTTTGACGTTATTATCAGATCCTTAGTCCTAAAGTATCAAATTTGAATGTTGTATAGTTACAAATCTAAAATACCTGAAGTTTATTCAAAATATTACAGTTGTGATGCCAGATATAATTCTTATCAACCCGCCTTTTTATTCTCTTGTGTGTTTAAGTTCCCTCCAAATGTAGTAAAAAAACATTCAACTAATCAATAACAGATCTTCAATCCATCCCAATCACCAAAAGAAAAGGAAACAAGAAACTCTTGTTGTCATAGACAGGTTGTTTGTGTATGGTCACATTTGTTACATAGCTAAACAAGCAATGCAACAGCAATACATAAGTAAAAACAGTAGCTATGGGACAATATGAATATCAGAAAAAAAGACGATAAAACATGAAATTATCTAGAAAATAAATCACTGCATATGTATTACTCACCTGAACGTTTGACAATTGGATAGCATCGTATACCTTTACGGGATCGTTTTAAATATATTCGGTACAAAAATCCCAATTGGAAAATCGCTTGTAGTCTATATATATATATTTAATCAGAGGGTATTGACATCTACTATTTTTTTGTAAGAAAGCAAGCATATAAAACCAGTATAAAAAATTCATCATAGTAAAGTTAAATGTGTTGTTATGTTTTTTTCATTTTTGCCTTGTATGCATTTTAGAATACTCTGCATTCTATTGCTAGATATAAATCCAGGTTTAATCCACCACTTTCTACATACAGAAATGCCTGTACCAAGTCAGGAATATGACAGTTGTTTTCCATTCGTTTGATGTGTTTGGGCTTTTTATTTTGCCATTTGATAAGGGACTTTCAGTTTTAAATTTTCCTTGGAGTTCGGTATTTTTGTTATTAAACTTTTTATCAACTCTTTTTTTACAGGCGAAGTTTCACTTTAATCAACCATGGCACGTAATAAATCTGAAACAACAGTGTACCATCACACTAGTAAAGCGGGAGCACGTGCAATACTGAAATCAGGTCGCATAAAGCAATCGGATAGCAGGAAGGGCGACGCACTCTTTGGTAAGGGGACATATGTGACAAAAATGGGACCACAAAGATCAAAAGACAAGATTGCAAAGAACAATTACGACGGTGCAACAAACTATTGGGAACATCACAGAGATAAGGGTAAAACTGATGTAGCGCTGGAAATTAAAATGCCGAGAAATAGAATAACTTCTATAAAGGCAACTAGACGGGATATCTACAAGATAAAAGGGGATATTCCTGCCAGCTATATACATAAGATTCACATTCGCAAAAACGGTAATCAAAATATGTTTACTACTTATCTAAATCCGAAGAGTAAAAAGTAGGATAATCCATGTCCTGTGTTCCTCTAAGACAACAGTTAAGCTATTATTTAAAAATTTGGATAGTGTACAACGACATAAACTTGCATGTCTCTAGATATGCGTTTATTTATTTTTTTTTTTCACTTTGCTATGTCGTCTGCATATATGTTTGCATGTGTATGTTTACATTGTTGAACTAGTATCATTACTTTGTAATCTTATATTTTGTATTGATTTTATCAGGTTAATCTTCTGTAAAATGTATTTTTTTAAATTTTTATCTCAATCGAATTATTGCAATACCTTTGTAATTTTTATTGTTATGCACATCGGTTTTTCTGAATCAAATCCATTTTCAAAAATGTTCGTTATGCATTGAGATTGGCTCAGGGGGGAAAAGGGCGGGGGAAGGTGGGGGGGGGGGGGGGCAATTCCTATATACAATGTGGAATAATTAACTTTTTCCAGCTTGAAAATACGTGAAAAGGTGGGGAAAACTATCAGAAATATATGACCATGTCAATAAAGTTCCCATTTTTTTCACAGCCGAAAGTCTCCCCATAAATGAAAATTACATGTCAATATTATGGAATTTGATGCGACTGTAATACAAGTGAGAGGTTTAGTGCTCTAAAACCAGGTTCAGTCCACCATTTTCTACATAAGAAAATGACTGTACCAAGTTAGGAATATGACAGTTGTTGTCCATTCGTTTGATGTGTTTGTGCTTTTGATTCTGCCATTTGATTAGGGACTTTCCGTTTTGAATTTTCCTCGGAGTTCAGTATTTTTGTGATTTCATTTTTTACATAAGGAATCTTAGTCCAAATAATTATGACGTCTTGAAAGGCTATTCTAACTTAAGGCGTCACAGACAAATAATTAAATCGCCTTTCAAGACGTCAAAAAATGTCTAGTTAATCATAGAATTCCTTTGAATGTTTATTCGTTAAATATCAATTCCACTTTCATCGCGGAATGTTGATGGTAATTATGATTCCTTTTACCAAAAAAATGACATTCAAACTCTATATTAAAAAATAATTTGTAATAAACGAAAGTTTGTAATTTTAAAGTAGGGCTCCGTGTAAAAATCATGCAATGAGTGATACATGGGGGTCAACAGATTATCACCAAATTTGGTATGTTATCTTGCCTTCAATCAAGATTGATGAAAAAATATTCATTTTTGTTGCTAGGACACCTTGGTTGCCATGGCAACCAAGTGTCAGATTGTGGGTTCTGGTTTAGACAAATATACACAAATTACAGTATCTTAAACATTCTTTTAGAAACAATACATAAAAAAACAGACAAATTTCAGTGATATATTAATTTATTTTCAGATATAATCTAAACACAATAACAAAAAATAAAGAGATATTTCAATTTTTTTTTCATTGTTACCTCTGTACCAAAAAGGGGTACAACACCATTTTCTTCTTTTTGACCAATTTTGAAGTTAAATTTTTTCACAAAACCCCGTAAGTAACATCATAATATGTATATACAAATTAAAGAATACTTACTGGAGTTAAACCAGAAATAAAAAAAAAATTGTGCAAATTTACAAGATTCAAATAAATGAATGGCTAAAGAAGGGAGGTAATCCATTATTCAGTTTTTCCTTTTTTTGACCAATTTAATGATAAAAATTCTAAAAACTCTTCAAGTAAAACTGTAATACTTTTAAGCAAATTAAAGTTTTTTAATAAAATATCTTTCAAAAAGAAACAAAAAATTATGCAAGTTTACTAAAAATCAGTAAATTCATGAAAAAAAGGGAGGTAATCCACTTTGTTGCTTTTTTCAATTTTGACCAATATCAAGGACTAAAATTCTAACAAAACTCTTCATGTTAAACTATAATACTTTTATGCTTATTAAAGTTTTTTAATTGAAAATCATTCAAAAAGAAACAATAATGTGTGCAAGTTTAAAAAAAATCAGTGAATTCATTAAATAAAAGGGAAGTAATCCATTTTGTTGCTTTTTTCCAATTTTGACCAATATAAAGGACTAAAATTCTAACAAAACTCTCCGTGTAAAACTATAATACTTTTATGCTTATTAAAGAGTTTTAACTGAAAATCATTCAAAAAGAAACAAAAGTTTGTTCAAATTTACAAAAAATAAGTAAATTCATGAAATAAAAGGGAGATAATCCATTTTGTTGCTTTTTCAAATTTTGACCAAAATCAAGGACTAAAATTCTAACAAAACTCTTCATGTACAACTATAATACTTTTATGCTAATTAAAGTTTTAACTAATTCATTCAAAAAGGAATAAAAATTTGTGCAAGTTTACTAAAAATCAGTAAATTCATGGAATAAAAGGGAGTTAATCCACTTTTTTGCTTTTCCAAATCTTGACCAATATCAAGGATTAAAATTGTTCTTGAACTATTTCAGAGAGGAAATAATTTTTATTGAAAGTTTACATGATTCAAAATGATAAATTGACAATGCAAGTAGGTTATCTGTTTCAGTCTGACTTTCTTTTATTTTTCAAATTATTAAAGATAAAATTCTATCAAAATTATACAATTAAAATCATAAAACTTATAAATACATTGAAAATAAATGGATAAAATTGAATTTTGTATTTTTCATATATTTTCACAATTAAAGGAGTACAAAATTAAATTGATCTTACTTAGCCTGCTTATGAAGCAGCAATACAAAATCTACATAATAATGTTATTTAAACTTCATTAATTCAGAAAATAATGTAATAGATAAAAAATGGACAATATATTGTAATTTAAATTTTTATCAGATAGACATTAAGGCTTATAATCAAATGTGATTTAAACAAACTTCTAATGTCTAAAATAAGTTGACTGCAAAAACAAAAAAAAAGCTTTTCATCTATCAATGTTCATTATGACATATCTAGCTTATTTGAACAAATAAACCAGAACTGTAAATTGTGTGAACATCAATATACATAGATAACTAAGAACATAATAGAAAGCATTTTAATTTGTCTACCATTTGTCTCCTCTCAAACATTGAATAAAATAACATGTGACGTAAATCGTTCTTATTCTAAAGCATATTTGATATCAAAGTAAGCAGAATCTCTGAGGAGTTGTATCAACAGGGACCCATGGTATGTGGTACAGCTTCTCAAGAAAAAATGAATACAAATAATATCATTTTAATATGAGGGCACAGTCCTGAAGGCTTTATTTTCCAATTACTTTCTAAGGAAACTGATCTAAGGAACCTTAATAACAAGCTTTAAAGTAAATGCACTATATTTTAACAGTCATTTGTTGGATTTGCAGAGTTAACTGATTCAATTAATTCAGATTGATTTATTGCAACAGCAGCAGCTACCAAGTCATCATCTTCAGGTACTATTTTGTTGTTGTTACTTGCATTAGCTGATACCAATCGAGAGAAGAAAGATGTAATTTGAGTACTATTCAAGCATTCATTTAACTGAAAAACCCGTCTGCCCTCAGTATCCCTCATAGATTTCATTTCTGATGCGACATCATCTGGACTGCATTTGTTTTTACTTTTCTCTCCTTCATTGAATTTCTTAATAAGGAAGTTTTTTATCTTGGTAGGAAATCTATTCACCTTTCTGGCCCTTTTTAATGCCCAACCCATAGGAAGGGTTTCTACAGCTTGTTGATTATCTGTACATTGGCTGGCAACATTTTTCTTCCTTGTAACAATAACATTGTTGCAGAGTTCTGCCCATTGCTTGCGAATGATATCATATACGGATTCTCTTTCTAATTTTAAATCATGTGTACCTAATAGAACATGATTTTCTAGAGTTCTGTAGGAAGCATAATGCTTAATACAACCTGGTTCTGGGCAATCAAAGGAGAGTGTTGTCTGTAAAGCAGATGAACTGACTGGTCTTATTGTTGTGGTCTCAGTACTCATTTCATTTTCTACAGCATTACTTTCGGCTTTTGTTAACTTGATCTTTCCTTTGACCTTTGATGGCAGAACAAAATCTGTTACAAGAGTACATCCAGTTTCATTTTGACAATGGCCTGATAATTTGGTTAACTCACTATAATTCATTGACAACCCATCCCCAATACCATAAGCTTTTCTGAATACAACACCAGATTCTGTGTACTGAACATCGTTGTAATGTGTGACATTTTTTAAATTATGAGTCTTGAGAACATGTTTTGACGTTTCAACAATAACATGGGCCACTTGACATCCAGCTACACCTGTAAGAAAGGGAATTGAACTTAATATTATGTAATAAACAGCTGCGCCATGAGCGCATGCTACGCCCGTCGTCTTGTGTGTGAAGTTTTATGCAATAAGCATAAATAGTTTCTGACATACGGCGTGACATGCGAAAACCCCTCTTTTTTTTTTTACAAAAAACTCAATATCTCTAAAATAAAATTTTGAATCAAAACCAAAAAGTATACAGATCTCTAGATTAATATAACTAAGAAGTGTGTAAAATTTTAAGCAATAATCATAAATCGTTTTTGAGATATGGCGCGACATGTGAAAAACCCCTCCCCTTTTTTTACAAAATACTCAATAACTCAAAAATAAAATTTTGAATCATCACCAAAAAGTATACAGATCTTAAGATTAATATAACTAAGAAGTGTGTAAAGTTTTAAGCAATAATCATAAATTGTTTTTCAGATACGGCGCGACATGTGAAAAAAAAACACACACCTGTTTTAGTTACTAAGTCCCGTAACTCAAAATGTTTTAATCTTATTTTCACCAAAAAGTATACAGATCGTTTGACCATCATAAGAAACAACTATGTTAAGTTTCATGAAATTTGGAGAAGTCATTCTCAAGTTACGGTGCGACATGTTTACGCCGGACAGACAGACGGACGGACAAAAATTGACGGTAGAGCTGGTAAATTAAAAATGTATTCGTGTACACCAATTAATCTTTTGAATAAGTCAACTGTCAATTAAGTGATTGTCTCTTGTGCTGTATTTCATAATTGTTTTTTTTTTTTATAGTTTACTCTGCTATTGAGTCAAGGCTTCACTTTGAAGCTACACTGTGACCTATAATTGCTTAAATTTACTACTTTAAGTCTTCGATAGAAATATGTCTCAATGGTAATCATACCACATCTTCTTATGTTTATAGAATAAATTCACAATGTACCTTTTCCATAATCAATTGCAGTTTTCATGTCATCTGCATTTAAAATGTTATTTCCAGTTGCCACAAAGGATCCCATCTTGGTTCTCATATGAGCAATTTTTGAGTCACAGTAGGACTTTCCAGCCTGAGCCTCTGAATATGAATATTGCTTTATTTGAATACCTGCAAAAAATCACAAAATAAACATGTACAAAGATTTGAGAGAGACTGCTTATAAATATCTTATTAATTCACTTTTATAATAAAGTTCAAATATCACCAAAGCTTATATTTTGAAGTATTTTATTCTTAAATATTTTTTTGTGTCTTTTTTTCTTGTTCAGATAATTTTATGATCTTTTGAATAAGTCTACTGTCAAATGCTTTTTTATATTTAGCACATATGATTGCAGCATATCAAAATATTGTTTTAAATTTGTACTGTGATGTAGTGCAACTTGACCTAATAGCATAACTTTTTTTGTTTTTTTATCATAACAGTTCTTTCTAAGATGCACTGTTTTTTCCATATAGAACTTGTAGGACTAAAATGATAATTGCAATATAAAATAAAATGCTCCGCTGGGCGCAGCTTGATACGACCGCAGAGGTCAAACCCTGAACAGTTGGGGCAAGTATGGACACAACATTCAAGCTTGATACAGCTCTGAATTTGGATTGTGATGAAATATTTGACACAGCATGGGTTTCTGACACATAAATGTGGTCTAAGAACTTGATTTTTTTTAATTTACCTATTATGGTCCAATATACAAAATCAAAATACATGGTTATATTCAGCATATCAAAGAACCCCATATATTCAATTTTTGTTGAAATCAAACAAAGTTTAATTTTGGACCCCAACTTGGACCAACTTGAAAACTGGGCCAATAATCAAAAACCTAAACGCATGTTTAGATTCAGCATATCAAAGAACCCCAAGAATTCAATTTTTGTTAAAATCAAACAAAGTTTAATTTTGGACCCTTCGGACCTTAATGTAGACCAATTTAAAAAAACGGGATCCAAAATTTAAAATCTAAATACATGGTTAGATTTGGCATATCAAAGAACCCCATAAATTCAATTTTTGTTGAAATCAAACAAAGTTTAATTTTGGACCCCAATTTGGACCAACTTGAAAACTAAGCCAAAAATCAAAAATCGAAATACATGTTTAGATTCAGCATATCAAAGAACCCCATATATTCAATTTTTGTTAAAATCAAACAAAGTTTAACTTTGGACCCTTTGGACCTAAATGTAGACCAATTTGAAAACTGGACCCAAAATTAAAAATCTAAATACACGGTTAGATTCAGCATATCAAAGAACCCCATAAATTCAATTTTTGTTGAAATCAAACAAAGTTTAATTTTGGACCCAATTTGGACCAACTTGAAAACTGGACCAAAAATCAAAAATCGAAATACATGTTCAGATTCAGCATATCAAAGAACCCCATATATTCAATTTTTGTTAAAATCAAACAAAGTTTAATTTTGGACCCTTTGGACCTTAATGTAGACCAATTTGAAAACTGGACCCAAAATTAAAAATCTAAATACACGGTTAGATTCGGCATAAACATAATTTAAAAGCAGTGTAAGGGAAGTAACCAAAACGTTGGATTACCTCCCTTACACTGTTTTAAATTATCTTAATTGTTCATTAACCATTTAATTTACTTTATACATAATTTAAAAGCAGTGTAAGGGAGGTAATTCAAATGATGTATTTGATTTATCTCCCTTACACTGCTTTAAATTATGTTTTGTACTAAAGTATTTGTCCATTAACCAGGACAACCTTGTTTTTCCCCCTTTTTTGCCCCTAATTCCTAAACCTTTTGAGCCATAACCCCCCAAAGCAAATCCTAATCACCCCTTTGTGGTATGGAAACTTGTGGTATAATTTCAGAGAGATCCATACACCGTTCCACAGTTATTGTCTGGAAACTAGAAAAGGCTTATTTTTGGCCCCTAATTCCCTAACTGTTGGTACCATAACCCCCAAAATTAATCCCAACCTTCTTTTTGTGGTATTGAACCTTATGGTAAATTTTCAAAGAGATCCATTCACTTAAACTAAAGTTAGAGTGCGAAAACCAATGTGTCTTCGGACGACGACGCCAACGTCATACCAATATACGACCGCAAAAATTTTTTGCGGTCGTATAAAAATAAAAATTCCACTTTACATTCAGTTAAGCTCTGTATTAGTTGGTGGGGAAATATCAAATTATATCTCTTACCTGTTCTATTGCTAATTTGAGGAATAGCAATCCATACACTGGCAGACCTATTTGGAAAATCACCGCGATTTTTGTAAAAACTCCGGTGTTTTTTGGCTAATCTCCGCGAAACGGATAATAATTAGAGGTTCATCGTAAATTTGCTGTATTACAGGATATTTTGCATGTTATCCGGGGATTTTTCGTGTCGGCGGGAATTAGCCGTTTGTCCGATAAAACTGGTGTGTATTGAGTCATTGATAGAACCACTGATGCGTGAGCGACGGTTATTAATAGGTCGTTGTATAATCCGTTATGCGTGAGCGACGGTTATTAATAGATCCTTGTAGTGTGGTACAAATTATGATATATAGATGTTTACAGAATTAAAAACAAAGTAACTATAATCATTTGAGATATAAGGAATTTTCAAAAATATATCATATAATGTTTCTGTAAATTTAGACAGAAACAGATTATATATATCTGGGGATTAGATGGTTACTTTTTTTAATTATATGTCAGAGGCCGCAGATCATTTAATTGCTTCTAGAACCGTTTATTGAAACAAAAATAAAATGAACGGCCAGGGGAAAGTTTTTAGTAACCTTAGTTGGTATCAGGGGTCAACTGGGTTGAGTTCAATATCGTAGCAGCTACGTAGCGGCTATGTAGTTGCTATCAATATCTATGTAGCAGCTAATCTATAGCTACACGTTCAATAGTAAAAATCTACATAGCACTACGTAGCCGCTACGATATTGAACGCAACCCTGGTAATACGTAGAGTCAGACCGTCGTTGCATAATATGTATATGTATTTACACACAATGCAGTGCATTCAAACTCGATTTCGCAAACTCGTGGGTTGTCTTTTTAGACAAAAAAGTTCAATTTAAAAGATATGAAAGTTGCGTACATGTATACAAGGAATTGTATATTTAACGTCAATGCCTGTCCTGTAAACTAATCTATTACACTTTGAAATGTAAATAAGTTCTATTTAAAGGATTGGACGGTTATTTCACATGAATAAAAGTCCTTCTGATCATTTTTGTTTTACAATGATTTTTGAAAGTGCGATCTTAAAACTAAGTTTGTCCGGACTTGCATGGAATATTTGCCACTGGAAGTTAAGCAACCAACAATCAATCATCTTAAAATAAAATAAATATGCCTGAGCGATAATATTCTTAAATTTTTAATGTGAAACACAGTTTCTTCATTTATTAGAAATCACTTTCAGGTCTAATGGTAAAGTGAATATACATTCCGGGATGAGATTAATTTACTATAATTGCTAAAGAAAAAGAAATGACATAACGTTTCTTTTAATTAAAAATTAGACTGCAACAAATGTAGATCGAACATTTTTAATAATGAAATAATGCACGTCAAAAATTTCGCTCACAATAGAGATGTTAATAATAGATTTTATCAATTGTGTCACTGCACGAGATTTTCCAACGGCGGGAAATATCATGTAGCTATAAACACAGGTGATGTTAATGACCGATTGTGGAATGTCAATTTAGGGTTAAATTTGATGTGTAATGATTGACATTATTGTGCGCGTTAGGTTGAGGCTCTAGAAGGTTCATTTCAATTGATAACCAAAATTATAAAATCGAGTTTTTTTTTCAAATCAACGTTTAAGTGTAAAATTTTGTGGGAGGGAAACTTTATTTTGTTTGTTTTAGGGGCACAGGGAGTTACCATGAAAATCTATAGGAACATTGAATAAAACAATTTCGAAGGTCACAACTTGTAAACTAATGAAAACAATGATAAACACTGCTGACAAGCGTAAACAGTTGTACATTACTTAGAAAATGGAGAGAGTGAAAAAAAAGGACGTTGATGATGGTTACTGTTCATGTTAATTTTGAAAGATCGTGGTAACTGATTTCTGGGATGGTGGTACTTGCCAAAGGTTGTATAAAAGGACAAACTAAGTACAATTTTAGCCGTGATATATGGGGCCCCCTCACGCTTGAATTAATTTACTTTACGTATTTCGTCCTTTATTATGACCTACAGTTGACCAAAGTTGAGTACTACGTATCGGTCAGGGGCGGCTCCAGACACTGTGAAAAAAGGAAGGGTGTGCTAGCCAGGGTTTCTCAGAAAAAAGGGGGTGCTAGTACAGTTGGCCTAATGTATTTGAAGGCCAGGATTGGAAGATTATCAGACATTCTGTGGCTCAATTTTAATTTTATTTTCTAAATGTGAAGTGCTACCTAAGCCGTGGCCTGGACAACCATACCCAATTTTTTAAAAGGGTGTTCCAAAGGCATATTAAAATACTTCCAGCATTATACAGGTCCTGAGGTACAATTTCTTGGGGAGGAGATTTCAATTGCTGTTATGTGGGTTAATTTTTTGTTACTAGGAATTTTCGTTTTTTTTTTCATCAGATTTGCCCCAATTGTCTATTCTGTTAAGGTTTCACAAAAGTCAAAATATATAACACTTCATAAGCATCTGAACTTTGCCTGTATTTTTCAACCTATAACGAATAAAGTCCTAAACTATATGAAAATATCTTCATTTAAACGTACTTAAACATATGCACACCGTGTAAATTGTAAATAAAATTGAAATTGTTATGTTGTGGCCAACCGGTTCTTGGTGGTGAACACCAAATTTTCCAAAAAAAATCTGGAGGCCTATTCTGATCATATTTTGATCCCCAATTTGATGAGAGAAAAAAATATTGTGGTCTGGCAGTTGACAAAAAAAAACGGAATTCCAGAATTCCCCATACCGTTTATTTCGAGAAAAAAATGTTTGGTGCATGGCAGTGGGGAATAACGTTGTGTTCCGAATTATTTCCGACTCAGAACAAACCCCTAACCCTTTGAATTTAAATGTTGCTCCTATATACCTTACTATCGTGAATTTTCAATGTTTCATGCATATTTCAGGTCAGATCCCAGGGCATACTATGTGTTCAAAATTATAAAAACGTAGAAAATTCATGATTCATGTACGTGTAATATGTCTCAAGAAAATGGATTGAAGGCATAGTAATTATCAAATTAATTATTTGTACAAAAAAACACATAGGCAATGAAAACCGTGTGTGCGCCAAGAAAGGTCAATACGTATGACTCAACTCGGAGGCTGATTTAGGGGCAGGCTGTCCAGATCCCTCCTTATGGAACTACATATGGTTAATTTTGACTTTTATTTACTTGTTTCACATACCCGAATAATTCAGTCGTTATATTCCGCTGATCTACGATTATTTCATTAACAAGTATATAGAAGAGATCGATTACGGAGAGAGACTGAATTTTTCGGGGTTAGTTCCACTCCGACCTTTTTTCAGTTTATACAATAAAGCAAGTCTATTTAATCCATTTCTCCGCTGTTTTCGTTATATATAGCACTTTCGTCATACTAAGGTTAGATTTCAAAGAGTGGATCATTAATATGAACATGTCGGGGTCTTTTAGAGCTGACAATGCGGTATGGGCTTTGCTCATTGTTGAAGGCCGTACGGCGACCTATAGTTGTTAATTTCTGTGTAATTTTTGGTCTCTTGTGGAGAGTTGTCTCATTGCCAATCATACCACATCTTTTTTTTTATATAATAACAATATCATAATTACAAATACTAATTCTCCTTACGTCATCCGAGAATACACGTGTCTTTTCTTTAGGCTAAAGCGCGAGTAGATGGTCAGATATATATATGGAATTTTAAAAGGACCTTGACTGGCTACACAGCCCTAGCACGATCTGATCGATGGTCAGAAAGATGACCGGACAAGTTCTAAGTGCACACAAATGGTCACATGTCATGAATATCCATGAACGTACAACGAACTAAATTTTATATATACGAATCCTTGCTGTACCACAGGTGTCCTTGTGTAATGAAATTTTAGGGTATTGGTGCATAGTCAAGTGATTAGATAAACTTGGAAAATCAATGAGAGAGAATGAATGACCATTTTAAGTTAATCCAGGGACTTTCTATTGATTGTTGTTTGCTTTACGCTGCATTAGCACAAAAATGCTATATCGCGGCGAGAGCTTATATTTTTACAATTTAAGGTATATTTTTAAAATCAGACAAAAAGGTCCTTCAATAAACTAAAATTCTAGACTAAAGGGACTTTCTATACTAACGGGATAAGATAAGATAAAACTTTTTTTTATTAAATAATGAAAGCTTTTTCAGATAAAGGGAGTGTCGGACATAGTTTTAACTCTAAATGAAACTGTTCTTTAATTCATAAATAATAAAACATAAAATTAAAGGCATTTTAGACCCTTCCTACAAACGGAAAAGATGAGCATGAAAAATAAGTGAAAGGGGGGTGGGCATAAGTGACTGGTTACGAATTAATTTCAATAGTAGTTCACCGTGCAAGAAGTTTTAAAGTACTAATGGAATAGTGTGACAGAAGCGGATTTAGAGGGGGCCAGGTACCCCTTTTCTTGAAAAAAAATTTGGTTGATTATACATGTATTGGGAATCACTGAAGCATGACTGAAGCGACCCCCTCTTAGGCAGTCAGTGCATATGAAAATTTCTGGATCCGCCACTGGTGTGCTAGCTTATAAATGATATATTGTTTACTTCCTTTTTTTTTTTAATCCTTACTCCGTCTTTGTGAAATAATCGAGACTTCATCAGGTATACACGCGGAGAAATAAAATATTGAAGTGATTTGAGTACCGATATATGAAATGTCTCCTTGGTAGCTGGTATCCCTTGTGAGATTAATTAATTGAACTCATGTGTGCCGGAATAGGTAATTAATATATTTTATTTTTTATTATTTGTCAACTTATGGTACGGTAATAACTTTTATTTTTTTATTTTCCTTTTGTTTCAATTTTAATTTGCCCTTCGTTCTGTGAACAAAATAACACGGCTACACATTTTAAGACAAAACACACTTACAGTTCGACTAACACTTTGACTTATTGTACTCACTTAGTATCAGATAAACGAGATGCATGCTCCTTAAAATCATTTCAGATATTCTATGGAAGTTTTAATTCACCAGTAAATCAGAAATGTCCATCTTAAA